AAGCCTCCTCTCTGCCATTTGGAAGCCATTCCCTGTTGTCCTGTCACTACAAGCTCTTTGCAAACAGTAAATCCCTGCAGGTAAATTGGTTCTGCTGAAATTAAGGACCTGAGATTCAAATGAGATTTTCAACAGTTGCTCAAAGAGTCAGTTTGGGGAAAAAATTGAAGAGATTCTCACGTTGCGAAGATTTGGGGCATTCTAATAATTATATTAATTATTAAATAATTATTAAAAATATAAATTATTGTAAATTCTACAAATTACGTGACAGCAGCTTAACTACTGTCCCCAGTATTTAAATTGTTGCCAGCAGTTAAATTGCTCCTGGTTCATGTACCAGTCTCACCCTGGCACCAGATGAAAACCTTTCCTCAAAGCTTCTTTCATCTCCAGGACCTGAGGATCATTTGAACGCCTTGTTCCCTCACCAGCCAGACTCCGAATCAACATAATGACACGAATTTCAATTCATGGAGTAATTTGTCAGCTCTTGGGGCAATTCGGGGCCTCCCCAGCCTGGCGTGGAAGCACCGGGTGGTTGCACAAAGCGCTTTAATTGGGTGTGGGGAGTGTGAAACTCCATCCCTGGTCCTTGGTGTGTCCTGGTTCAGCACCCAAAGGCTCCCAAGGTTTTGGGTGAACCCTGGGTGCCAATTACCAAAGTGGCAGAATATCAATGCAAACATTTCCAGGCTGGTAATGAGCCTTTTTTTTTTTAAACATTATCTACCCTCCAAGACAAACTGTTTCTGTGCCCAGAGGGAAGAGTGAGGAAAAGGAAGCGTTCCTTGGTTATCTCAGATGAAAGGGAGTTGAATCCTTTGGGTGAGTGATTTCACCTACTAGAAGGAATTAATTTTTTTAAATATCTATAAAGGCTGTAGATAGCAGAGATTTTGAGGAAAGGCATGAAAAAGACTTTTTCTTCCATAGAAAAAGCTTTTATAAAAAAGGAGAGAAGAATTTTCTTGCAGAGAAAGGATGAGGATTTAAAGATTTTATAGAAAATCAATATTTGGCTTTTTTTTTTTTAGATAAATTATAAAAAACTTTTAATAAAATAATTCAAGATTTTGAAGTTGCTTACCTGAATTCGTCTGTGAAGTCCTTTGAGTGATCTTGACCCACATCCTTGGAGATTAAATTATTACCCTGGTGATGGGAGCACTGAGATCTCGTCACGTCCCTCCAACATCGGGGAGCCCAAAACTTTGCATATTTGAGCCCTTGGTTAGAAGGTGGAGTGAACTTTGAAGTCCTTTGTTCTTCTCTGTTTAAAGCCTCTGTGCACCCGCAGTTAATTCCTATCTTCGCTGAGGTGCCGAGAGGAGACACCCGATCCCTGCTCTCTGCATATTTTCCATCTCTGCAGGTAATTCCAGCAGGTTGGATTCCAGCCAGGGCTGGTCACTAAACCATGTCCTGATTAATGGAATGAAGTGCTGGGGGTAATTTCTCCTGACGCTGTCGTTTGGCTCAGACAGAGCCTCTAAACCCCAACATTTGAAGTTCGTCCTCAGTGTCCACATTCGTGTTTAATTTGTCGTGATAATTGCTGCACATCCTGGGATTTCAGGCGGGAAGGATGGTGACTTTGGCATGGAAATGATATTAAAATGTGTGTTTGGGTAAAGAATTGCAGGTTTATGAGTGTTTGGACGGGCTGGGTTCATAAAACCGGGCTCAGCCCAAGCAGGAACGCGTTTTACTGTCCTTGCTCAGCAATTCTCGCTGGTTTTAATTTTCTTCCAGCTTTGCAATACCCATGGAAATGTGCTGCTCTTCTCAGCTGCGTGTTTGTGTGGGAAGGGCAAAATTGGGGAATATCTGCTCTGCATCTTGTCCTGTGGCAAAGCTGAGCCCTCGTTTGTCCGCCACCTCCGAGCTGATTATTCACCTCCAGCAGCGAAGTCTTGAACAAGGACTAAACATCACCCACACTCCCCTTAAGCGGTGTCTTAATGACTAAAATGGAGCCTAAAATGTCCATAATTACTGCCCTAATTCACACGAGTCACCACAGGCCGCCCAAGCAATTAAGTGGGTGCTCAGGAATGAAGATGAAAGGGGTGGGGATGTCACAGCGGGAGGGGAAAAGCAGAACAATACCAACAGAGATTTTGGAACAAACAACAACAAGAGTCGATCGGTTTGGGGGGTTTCGCATGCAAAACACGGACCATTAAGGAATCTCATGCATAATAAACACCTCTGGTCTGCAGGCAGCAGGACCGTGGTATAAAAGCCTATAGAACACAAGCCTCTTCCATCCTCTTCTCTTGCCTTATTCTCCCAGGTGAACAGGTAAGTCTGAACCTTCTCGGTGCCTTTTTAAATGCTAAACTGCCACTTTGATGGCTGCTTTTATTTTATTTTATTTTTTTGTTGTTGGTTGTTCTTGGTTCTTTATAAATGTTGCTGGTTTGGTTGTTTCACCTCCAAGGGAAATTACAAAGGTTTATTTGTACCAAAAAGAGAGGCTTTATTCACCTGTGGAGCAGAGTGTGACGAGATAGGACTTGGAGGATTCTGGCAATGTTATCTCTCAAAACAAGCAGATTTATGCTCCATTTTAGAGGATTTTTAGGACCACTGAGGGAGTGGGTGGCCACGAACCTGGTTGGCTTCTGCAACCAAAGGCTGGGAAACCCCTTTGCTGGTTGGGCTTGGACAAACTTTCCATGACTGACACCACAGTTCAGAGGCCTCACAGAAAATAAGACCAACCCCTCAAATGTAAAAAATTAAGTGTAAAATGTCAGGTTTTGCTGTGACAGGTGGTGACCTCCCCGACCACCTCTGTAGGTGCCTGGACATCTCTTACCCTCTTGGGTGACTTCTATGGACTCACTGCAGGTTTTGAAGGGTTTCACTCTCTCTCCTGTGTTTCTGCCCTAGGAATATGTCCTCCTACGACCTGTGCTGCCCCAGTCCCTGTGGGCCCACCCCGCTGGCCAACAGCTGCACCGAGCCCTGCGTGAGGCAGTGCCAGGACTCCACATACGTCATCCAGCCCTCGCCCGTGGTGGTGACCCTGCCCGGGCCCATCCTGAGCTCCTTCCCCCAGAACACGGCCGTGGGATCCTCGGCCTCGGCCGCCCTGGGCAGCTCCCTCAGCTCCGAGGGGGTTCCCGTCTCCTCCTCGGGATGGGGGCCCTGGGGGTCCCTCCGGCCCTCCCGCCGCCCCAACACCTACAGGGGTGGCTTTGGGGAGCCCTGCTGAGGCAGGAGGGAGGAGCAGGGAAGAACAACCCCCAGGAATGCTGGAGCACGACCCGACGGAGCTCCTGGCTGTGGTTTCCAGATGTGATGCTGAACACCCACGACCCCCCCTGAATTTAGAGGCCGTGGGAGCTTTGCATCTCCTCACATCAGGCCTTTGCTTGTCTTATTCTTTGATCCTTCGTGTTTCTGATGACATATTTCGTTTTTTTCTACTGCTGTAAATGGGGCTTTTTTTGTCCCAGTTCAAGGCAGCACCGAGAAAACAAACCCAGGATGAAAAGCCATATTAGCTCTTGTCTTGAATCCTAGAAATGTCAGCTTACACTTTGTGCTTTTTTTATTCTGCTTTTTTTGCCCTCATTAAAGTTATGTTGCATCACAACCCAAGTCTCCTGCTGTTTATTTGAAAAACTTTGCAACCTTTTAGCAAAAAGCTCACTTTTTGCAGAATTTTTGCCCAAGTTTATTCTGAGTATGGAATCCTTTCTCTTCCTCCTGGGCTGGAGGGGTGTTGGGGGGATGTGTGTCAGTCCTGGGTCTGCAGCTCCAAACGAGGAGGTGATCTGGCCCTTCCCTTAAATCAGGGATCTGGGACACAATGCAGGTGAGCTGATATCTCCTGCAGCACCTGGCAGGAAGAAATGACCTGTGCAAAGGGTTTATCCCGATTATTGCAGGCACAGCCCTGCTCCGAGGGGATGGAATAAATCCCACATTCCTCAGCCTCGGTGGCACCAAGACATTGCTCTCCCAGCGAGGTGGATCTCACACCCAGCACTAATTGCACTCTCCCAATTTGAAACATAATTAAAATCTGCATTTGAAAAAAAAAAATCCCTCAAACGCGTTTGAGAAATAAAGAAAACCCGCCCGATTTGGGTGTGTTGTTTTGCAGAGGTTCTGGTGACTAAATAACTTCTTCCCTCGAGCAGAAATGAATTTTTGGTGCTGTTTTCTAGTTCTGTTCCCAGCAGAATTCCAGCACAGTGACCACACCACTCCTGGTTCTTCGCAGGAACACTCCAGGTGTTCATCCAGGAGTGAGCTGCATTTATTTTGGACAAAAAGGGAAATTACAAACTAAGGTGCCAACCCAAACCTCAAACTTGAGTGATTTTACAGTTCTTTACAGCAGCATTTGAATGACATTAGCAATGAGCTGAGCTCCTTTCAGGCACCTTGAGGAGGTTCCACCTCTGCCTGGGCTGGAACAACTTCGCCCTGGGGGGAGTTATTTGAGCAGCAAGAGTGGGGAAGAGCAAATCACGGGCTCTGCCTGCACCAGGAACCCTCTCAGATCACACCTAATTCTCTGTAACGAGCTAATTAATTACAATTCAGAACAATTGCAGGCGACACTCCTGCCAGGGACGCTCCTCCATACAGGGATTTTGGGGTCATTTTGTGCCTGGAGACTTCCCCCAGGGATTACTGTGAGTAAAACCCCACTTCAGTTTTGATGAAGAATCTTTTGGGTTTTTTTTTCAGAAGTTTAGTCACTCTCAGGTGTCTCAGGAGGATGTTCTCACATTATGCAAGAAGGTTTAATTATAATCTGAATATACAGGCCTGTCCTTGATGATAAAAGTCTGTGAACTTCTAATTCACTCACTTTAATTGATCTCAAAGCTGAGGCCATTAAAGCCATTCTGAGTGTACAATGCAGTGGCTGGAGTCGGGACAATGTTTATTGTAATCACTTTTAAGGAAGGCTGAGGAAATCTCTGAAAATGTTGTTGCTGGATTTTTTTTCTTAAACTCACAGTCAGATTTTAAAGGTGTTTTGTGTTTCCCAAGCAAACCTTGGGTGAAAGAAGAATAAAAAAAAATTGGTGAAAATAAACTGTGGATGCTGTTATGCAAATTAATTCCTCAAATAGCTGCTAGGGAGGAAATTATTTTTGAAACAGGCTGCTAATCCCTCAGAATATGGAGAAGTACTGAGGAATGGACAGGGCTGGGGAAGCTAAAAACAGCCAGGGAAGTTTCTTTGTGAATCCCCTTGAAATATGAGATAGTTTAAACCAAACCTTGAGCTTTTCACGTTGAATTTAAAATAAAATAAAACAGCTGTAATTCCTGCAGCCAGAAACAATAACATAAATTTTACAGCCCAATTACTGCCCTGCACTCCCAAATCCTAATGACATGTTATTAAACAAGAGATATGGGAATTCAAATGTGGGGCACGGATCTTAAATTTGCACTTAATGTCACACTTTGCATTCTGGCTCTTTAATAAAGCTTCTGATAAACTTTGAAGTTCTCAGGAGCCTCTGACCAAGCCAAACGAGTTTCTGTTCCCAGGGGACCTTCCCAAAGACAGCCCTAATTTGGGGCTCATTTACATGTCTCAGTGGTTGAAGGAGAGAGAATCCCCAGGATTGATCCCTGGGTCTGGAACTGCTCGGGGATGTTTCCCCTTCACCATTTATCCTGCAAGTCCCCCCTGGAGAAGAGGCTCTATTTCCTTGTGCTGCTGGAAAGTCACAGAAAAATCAGCTCCAAGTGACACTTTTATAGACTTTTGACAATTCTCCAACTGGATCCACTGGTCTTTGACACATCAGAGCCAGACACTGCTGGGGAAATGGGTGTTGCAATAAAATAAGGATTATTTAGGTTGGAAAAGGCCCCCAAGATCGTCAAATCCACCCTGTGCCCCATCCCCACGTCATCCCCCAGCCCAGAGCACTCAGTGCCACATCCAGTCCTTCCCTGGACACCTCCAGGGGTGGAGAAACTCTCTAGAAAAGGGAGGATTCTTGGATGGGACTTCTGCCTCCACAGCTGGGTTTGGCAAAGCTTTGCCTGCTGCAAAACTCCTCCTGGAGAACAAATCTCACCAAGCAAAGCAACCCATTGATTCAACCTAAACACAGCTGCTGATATTTGAGCTCTGAGATGAGAATAAAAGTGGATTTTTTTCCATGAAGAACTCCAAAGAGATCAGGCCCAGGATTAGAGACCCAGGAAAGGTTTTTGGGTGAAAATTGTGTGTGTTCTTGGCAATTTATCTGTAAAATTGTCTCTCTTTTCCTTTCCTTAAAAGGAGGAATTTCTTGCTGGAAAGGGTGGTGAGGCCTTGGCTGCCCAGGGAGGTGGGGGAGTCCCCACCCCTGGAGGTGTCCAAGGAAGGACTGGCCCAAAACTCATGGATTCACTCCCAAAAGCAGCAATTCACGTTTTCCCCGGGATTTACCTGGCAGAGGAGGGGACCAGGGACTGCATCATGCAAATGATGCTTAATCTCCTCTAATGACCCCAAGCAGATCCCAGAGGGTTTTGAAGGCAGAACAAATCCTTCTGAATTAATCATTCCACTGTTCCCAGGAATTAGGCTGGCCCAGAATATTCCAAGATGAAACAATCTTGTGGTCAGATATACATGCCACAAGATAAGGAAGTGAAGGAGTAATAAACACAAATACTGAGGCAAAAAAACATGTAATCAGTAGTGGCTCATAAATCACTTCATGCACAAAGAGTGGCCCAAGTTGTTGGGCAACTTAAGGCTCGGTATAAAAGCCTGAGCAACTCCAGGCTCTGCCAGACATTTCTCTTGCCTTCTTTGCTGTGAACAAGGTAAGTCTGAAGCCATTTATTCTCTCTTTATACAACAAACTATTGCCTTGATGGTTTTGTAGCTTTTCCTCACTCACTTTGTGGCAAATTCAGCTTTTTTTTCTCTGAGGGAGGAAGGGGTTTTGATACAAAAAAGTACATTTTCCTGTTTCATATGTTGGTGGTGAGTCATAATAATCATTAATATGCCAACGAGCCACGTTCACCATTTAGGGCTATTTATCAACTTTGGGATCCAAACAAGTTTTCTGGTCCTGCAGGTGCACATGAAATATCTGCAGTGAGTTCTTGGGTGTGTTCAGGGTGGTGTGACCAAGTTCCACACAGACCAAGTGTGGAGGGTTCAGGCAGGGACAGAAGCTCAGCAGAACAGAATCCCAGAATGTGCTGAGCTGGAAGGGACCCACAAAGATCATCCAGTCCAACCCTCAGCCCTGCAGAGGATCATCCCCAAGAGTCCCACCCTGTGCCCCAGAGGATCATCCAAACCCTCCTGGAGCTCTGGCAGCCTTGGGGCTGTGCCCACTGCCCTGGGGAGCCTGGGCAGTGCCCAACCAGCCTCTGGGGGAAGAACCTTTGCCTGAGATCCACCCTGACCCTGGCACAGCTCCAGCCATTCCCTGGCTGCTGTCCCTGCTCACCCACAGCAGAGCTCAGTCCCTACCCCTCCTCTGCCCCTGCCCAGGCATTGGAACTGCAGTGAGGTCTCCCCTCAGTCTCCTCTGCTCCAGCTGAACACACCCAGTGCCCTCAGTGCCCTCCTACAGCTTCAAACCAAGGCCCTTCCCCATCTCTTTGCCCTCTGTTTGGATGCTCTGTAAGGGCTTCATCTCTTTCCTGTGTTATGGTGCCCATTAAGAACTTGGGTTCCTCCTCCAACCCCTCCTCACTCAGCTCCTGGAGGGATCCCTGGGCAGCCCCTGTTCTGGTCACCGACCCGAGCTGGTGCAGAAGCAGCACAGCTCACCCCTGCTGCTGTGTTTCAGCAGCACAACTCTGTGTTTCAGCAGCACAGCTCACCCCTGCTCCTGTGTTTCAGCAGCACAACTCATCTCTGCTCCTGTGTTTCAGCAGCACAACTCACCTCTGTTCTGTGTTTCAGCAGCACAGTTCACCTCTGTTCTGTGTTTCAGCAGCACAGCTCACCTCTGCTCCTGTGTTTCAGGTCCCTGCACCCCCGGCCATGTCCTGCTATGACCTGTGTGCCCCCAACTCCTGCGGGCCCACCCCGCTGGCCAACAGCTGCACCGAGCCCTGTGTGAGGCAGTGCCAGGACTCCACCGTGCTCATCCAGCCCTCGCCCGTGGTGGTGACCCTGCCCGGGCCCATCCTGAGCTCCTTCCCCCAGAACACCACCGTGGGCTCCTCGGCCTCGGCCGCTGTGGGCAGCGCCCTGAGCGCCGGGGGGGTCCCCATCTCCAACGGGGGCTCCCTGGGGTTGGGGGGCTTTGGCTACCCCGGGCTGGGTGGTGGCTACAACCGGCCCTCCCGGCGCTCCAGCACCTTCCGAGGGGGCTTCTACGGGCCCTGTTAATGTTCTCATGAAAGAAATCACCAGGAATTCTGAAGCACGACCTGCCACCGGCCTGAGCTCCCGGCCACGGTTTGCAGACGTGATGTTGGACACCCACGACCTCACCTGATCCGCCGGAGCTGTGGGAGCTGTGGGAGCTTTGCACCTCCCTCCAACCGGGCCTTTGCTTGTCTTTTGTTGTGCTTTACTTGGTATTTCTGATCAAATGTCTTGTCCTGCTTTTGTGTTTGTGTTTGATAACAGGGAAAACACGGAATTGTTAGGAATTGTCCTGCATGGCTGAATTAGTGCAGTTCACTTAACCAGTGAAGAAGGAAGATTTCAGGTTGCTGAGTGTGTCACTGTGAGAGGGATGAGTGGGTTCTGTCCTCACTGGACCATAGAAATGTGTTCCTTACCTTTATATTCCATTCCTCAGCCTCATTAAATTTGTGCTGCATCCTACTCCGAGTCTGTCTGTCCTTCTTTCTTCTCCAGCCCTTCATGCCCATTGTCAAAAGACAAGGAGTCAGATTTCAGTCGTGGAAAATGATTTTTCTTTTGTCTGTACATTTTAAATCAAGCCTGAGACCCCTTATCAAAGAGTTGGCCTTCACCTGCAATGGGTTGAGACATAAACAGGTGATTTATGAAGATGAGATGCTTGGGAAGATCCCTTTAAAAGGAGGAAGAGAAGCAGGGTTTGGTCAGGGGAAGGGTGGTGGGAGGGCTGGGAACCACTGAGTTCAGCCCGAGTGTTTTGGTGGGTGCAGCACCTTTTGGCAGCTGAGCTCAGACCCTGGTAAGTCTGGGAGGGGAAGAGGAGAGGGATGTGTGGTGTTCTCACAAGGGAATTGGCCTTGAGAATTTGCTGGCCTGGGAAGCACATCTGGGAGAAAGAGATTAAAGGAATCTGGAAGATTTTTGAGTTCTAACCCTTTTTCAGTGTGTCTTTATAAACTGTCTCCTATTTGCTGTGTCTGGCAAAGCTGAGCTTTATCAGGCATTGCTTTGTTCCAGCTTGATTGTGCTGGAATAAAGGTTTGGAGACTGGGAGCTTTGGTCCCTGAAGGAAGAAGGTTTGGAAAAGCTTCACCTGAAGGCTCTGGATGAGTCACCATCCTGTCAGCCCAAACAACTCCAGCCTGAGCTCTGTGAAATGTCTTGCTTGGAGTCTTTGTCTGTGTCTGTCCAGACTGATGCTGAGCTGTAATTAAAGCCAGGGAAAGCTGTTGATGAAGTTGCATTGACTGCACTCATTAGTGGGACTAAATTAAAGGAGGTGAAGGAAGACCATGAAAGAATTAATAATTTTAAGGAGCAGGTTTTCTTAATAAACAACAGAAGCAAATGGAAAGTTTGATGTCCTAATACAGCACAAGGTTGGTCTGAATTAAATGTGTAATATATTTTTTGCCATCTCAACTGAAGTTATTGCTTGATCAAAGGTGATGAATTCCAAAGACGTCAATGGCTGCAAAGGGTTCTGACTAAGGCACTGCAGTGAAAGTGTCTTTAATGCATTCAGGTGGATATTTCTCATGACCAAGTGCATTTTTCTGCTCTTGCAATTCTCATCAATGGAACCAAACCTCTTTCCAGAGGTAACCCCTGTGAATGCAAATCCCTCCCAAAGCTGGGATGTTTCATTCAGAAATTGTGTCAGAAGGGTCTGATTTGCAGCTCACCTCAAAATGAAAAGCAAAGACAATCCTCAAGCACCATTTTCCCCCTTCACTCCTGTCCCAGACCTCCCCACTCTCCCAGGGAACAGTTTCTCTCAAAGAGCTGGAAAAAGTTGGTCCCATAGAGAAGAAGTGACAGGAGCTGTTTTTGCAGGACTCTGAAGTATTTTCTGCTCCTGTCAGTGCAAAGGTGTTTCCATCCCAAATTCTGCAGAGGGATAGAATTGCAAATTATAATCACATAAAAAATGCGATCTAATTACAACCCACCAGACTCTGGAGGCAGAAGTGCAGTGTCTGCTGCCTGCACAGGGAGGAGGGAAGAGGCTTTTACAGCCTCCTCAGGCTGCCGGGGGGATCTGAGCCAGCCCTGCACATTCACCAACCAGCCCCTGCCTGAATTGTGGCTCTGATTTGCATTTGGGCTCCCAGGAGTGAAATTGGGTTGTTTACAGTTTGTGTTGATTGCCTGGACTTCTCCTGGCCATGGAGGGAAACCACGATCCACGGGGCCCCTTTCATCTCTCTGCTTTGCATCCACTGAATATTCCTGACTCCATTCTGCTGACTCCACCTTCCAAAACGGCCAGGAGTCAAAATCCAATTTGCTTAGGAATTTTGTCTGCTCTTTGGCGCTTTGGTCACACATTTGGGAGCACCACTTGCTGTCACAGCAGGAGCTTTAACTGGAGTCCTGAGTGTGTGATTCCACCCCTGATAAGTGACCATGAGATTTGGGATCACTGACCTCTGTAATATTCCAATGAGCGATATCCCAAAGCTTCCAGCTCCTGGGATGAGAGGACTGAGCCAGCCAGACTAGCTGGACACACAACCACCTTCAGAAGTGGACTTATGACTCCTTTTATCATCTCTGTCCCTTTTGATGAGTCGGTGACTTTGTGCAAACACTGCTTTGTATCTCAAGTGTAAAATGGAGGGACTCGAGTTTCTGGGGAAGTTTGTGACATTCCTGAGTGATCTTGGTCACCCATTTCAAAGCTGGTCATGTTCAAAGAGTGTCCCACACCTGCCCACTGGCTGATAACTCCCCATTTGCATGTCTGAGCGGTCGATGCAAAGGGTTTGGGAACTTGGAAGACTTTTGTTCTTCAAAAGTGCACAACCAGCACTTATTTCCCAGGAGATGTTCAGGAAGATATTCCCAGTTCAGGGGTTGCTTTGCATGTCTCTGCCTCGGTGATTTAAACATGAGGAGAGCTTGGAATGCTGATCCCTGCCCTCGAGTCTGCTTGGGCATTCCCTGCAATTACTTTTTAATCTCGAAATTGCCTTTGAAAAGGAAATGGAGTCGTTGCACCTTGCGATGCTCTCTGAGACATGCAAAGGGAAAGCGACAGAATTCGCTTTCAAAGAGGGAAAAAGAACATTGCAAACTTCTGTAAGTGACTGCTAACGATTTAAGGAACAACTTTGCATAATAGTGCAAGGCCCAGTAGGGGAAAGTAATAATTTAATGGCAAATGTAAAACTGTTTGGCGTCTTTAATGACCCCAAAGCTGAGCCTGTGCAAGACTCGGAGTGTCTCTGACCAGCCTAAAATTCGCAGGCATCCCCCATCTGACCTGGATTGTTTTCCTGGGGTTTGATGTAGGAAGAAAGTTAAACTGCAAACTCACAGATGAAGGACTTGGACACTCAGTTCCCAAATTGAAGAGCTGTGTCTCAAATTCCTTCGTGGAAGTGAAGTAGTTTAATATTAAATGAGTAGATCAGATGCTGATACTCTTTCATCCTGTCTCCTGAGTCAAGAAAATAAAATATGTTCCCTCAAATAATCTATTTCCCAGTACCTTTGAGGCTGGTGAAGTCTAATCAGCTCTAAGTGCTTTGTGTAACAATTTTATTTCCTATATCCATGTGGCTCTCTGGCTGTTTGAGAGGAATTTGGCAAAGCCACAGTCCAATTCTGGAGCAGAAATAGGAATTTCTGGTCTTTTCAGAGTGAAACGTGTCAAAAAGTGCTCCCCATGAAGAGGGAAGGGGGAAGTTCCCATCCATCTTTCCTAGCAGATTTATTCATCTGTGTCATCGGTCCTTGGGATGCAAAATAATTTCTTCAGTAGCTCAGATGAATCAGTTCATCTGAGCAGGAATGAACTGGGCTCCCAAGATCAGAAGATAAAAGAAACCTCTCGAGTGGAATGCAAACATTACAGGGAGGAAATTAAACCGAGGCAGGAAACCCAAACAGTGAGGAAAAAGTAAATCACCAGCCAGGAGTATTTTGCATCTGAGAAGTCTTTGGTAATTGGCTGCTAATGGCACAAATTATGCCTTAGATCCTCAGGCTCTCTGGGCCAGAGTATAAAAGGCAGCACAGTCAGAGGAGCTTCATCCACTTCTGCTTTATTCTCCTCGGTGGAAAGGGTAAGTCTTGATTTGTTTCCTATTTTTTAAAGTCCTGAATTGTTGCCTTCATTGTATTTTATTTTTACACCCTCTTTGTAGCAGTTTAAGGTTTGTGCTCTGTGTGTGGGGGAACCATCAAGCAGCTTTTTTTTCCAGGAGAAGGTCGTTGTTCTGTGAAGGTGGAGGTTGTTGGATGCAGGACTTCAGCCTCGTTTTTCATTTGTGTCACCAAATAGTTCAGTTCCAAAGCGTTCAGATCTCTGCCTGTTTTTTGCTCAGCAGTTGGAAGTGGATGTGGTGAATCTGTGCAGAGATTCTGTCCTGGCTCTCAGGATAGGAAGGGATTGGAAGGGGCCTCTGGAGACCCTCCAGTCCAGGGCAGGGTCACCCAGAGCAGGTGACACGGGTGTCCAGGTGGGTCTGGAATGTCTCCTGGGCACCCTGTGCCAGGGCAGGGTCACCCAGAGCAGGTGACACGGGTGTCCAGGAGGGTTTGGAATGTCTCCTGGGCACCCCGTGCCAGGGCCTCCCCACCCTCGCAGGGCAGTTTGTGCTCCTCACTTTTGCTCGCTGAGGAAATCTGAATATTTCTCTCTATTTTGGGGCAGAGTTTTCCCCTCCCTTTTCTGACAGATCACAAGCCTTGTCCCCCACTTGCTGGAGGATCCTGGAGGAGTGTGGTGGGAATGAGCTGCCAAAGGCTGCTCAGGGGAGGCAGAGCTGCCCCTCGAGCTGTTCTCTGTCCCGTGCAGGAGTTTGGCCTCGGTTGAAGCCTCCTTTCAAGCCCAGACTAACCCATTATTCCATTCTCTTTCACTCTCCCTCACGTCAGCAGCTTAATTCCACGGCTCTAATCCCAACTCGTGTTCCCTTCCCTTGCTGTGCTGCAGCCCCGGTGACACCCCCGGCCATGTCCTGCTACGACCTGTGTGCCCCCAACTCCTGCGGGCCCACCCCGCTGGCCAACAGCTGCAACGAGCCCTGTGTGAGGCAGTGCCAGGACTCCACGTACGTCATCCAGCCCTCGCCCGTGGTGGTGACCCTGCCCGGGCCCATCCTGAGCTCCTTCCCCCAGAACACGGCCGTGGGATCCTCGGCCTCGGCCGCCGTGGGGGACGCCCTGAGCGCCGGGGGGGTCCCCATCTCCAACGGGGGCTCCTCGGGGCTGGGCAGCCTTGGATATTCGGGGCTGGGCGGCCTGTACGGGAGGTCCTATCGCCGCTCCAACCGCTGCGGGCCCTGAGCAGGCCTCGGGACGGCCCTGGAGGCCTCGGGACGGCCCTGGAGGCCTC